CTCATCATTTATTGACACAGTGCTGAATGCTGCTCAGTACTGCAAATCCAAACTTGAATAATAATGGCGCAAACTGCAGGATGATCGTGACTATGCATTTTATGGTGTACATATCATGGAAATGATTTTCTTTGCTCTTTTGCTAAGTTTTGCTAAGAGTTTGATGCATGTAGACATACAGTGGGTCCAAAAGTCTCAATCTGATGTGCCTGTCCTTTTAAAATATCATGCTGCTGAATTAGAAATGATGGCACCTTTAATATTATTTTGAGCATTGATCATAGCTGCAGGACTGGCATGTGTTGAAGTGGAGAGACTGTGGTATATGAAGTGTACTGACTAGGGCTGGACGATATGGCCAAAATTGATATCATGATATATTTCTTAATTTCAGTCGATACGATATAATTCCGATATCGATATGAACACTATTTATCTGAAATAGAAATCTTTTGTAACATTATAAATGCCTTTATCATCACTTTTGATCAATTTTAAGCATCCTTGCTAAACAAAAGTATTAATTTCTATAATTTCTTTCTCAAAAAAATAATAAAAATTCTACTGAATGGAATAGTGTATAATGTTACAAAAGCTTTTTATTTCAGATAAATGCTGATCTTTGGATCTTTCTATTCATCAAAGAATCCTGAAAAAAAAATTACTCAACGGTTTTAAATATTGATAATCAGCATATTAGAATGATTTCTGAAGGATCATGTGACACTGAAGACTGGAGTAATGATGCTGAAAATTTACCTATGTATGATCACAGGAATAAATTACATTTTAAAATCTATTCAAATAGAAAGCAATTTTAAATAGTAAAAATATTTCAACATTTTACTGTTTTTGCTGTACTTTGGATCAAATAAATGCAGCCTTGGTGAGCAGAAGAGAATTCTTTAAAAAAATAAAAACACTTTTGAGTGGTAGTGTAGGCTGATTATTCTTATACAGTGCCGTGAAAAGGTGTTTGCCCCCTTCCTGTTTTTTTTTATTTTTTGCATATTTGTCACACTTAAAAGATTCAGATAATCAAACCAATTTTTATATTATGCAAAGATAATGCAAGTAAATACAAAAGGCAGTTTTTAAATGATAATTTCATTTATTAAGGGAAAAAAGCTGT